AATTCTCAATCAATCCTGCAACGATCAAAATATCTTGTCACGTTTGGATCGACATAGCGATCAAGAAGATAGACAAACCCTCGGGAAGAAAAGGAATTTCCGATAATTTTTACGCATATGGAACAATAAAAAGAAAGGGTCACCAGATTTGTTTTCATGCAATAGCTTTCGTGAGTTTAGCAATTTCCACACGCGTTCTCGCACATTTAAAAATCTGGATTCTATGAGATCGACATTTGCTCATGATCTGTTGTAGCTACCGCTGATAATTGCGTGTGCTCGCGTGAGCACCTACGATCTGATGTTTTCTGATGTTTACTGCTAAGAAAATCATTAAACAGCTGTCAAAGACAGCCTCCCGAGCTCATCTTAAAAATCCTACATATGACTTCTGGCTATATCATATTAATTTCCTTGAAGTTTCAAAGTCTTCTTCCACTTCAGGTAGATTATCCTTCACTTGAGTTCTTTTTTCGCCGTCGTAAGATTTCATATCGTTTGAATATTTCTTTAAAATGTGAAGTGAAGCAACCTTTACTTCTCCGAAACCTTTACTTCTCCGAAACCTTTACTTCTCCAGTTTCCCAGTTTGGGTGGGAAAACATATCGTCAAAACTAGCTAGTGTCTTTTTGGTTTTTGTTCTTTTAGGTAGCAAATGTTGCAGTTCACTCGCGGCTCACACTTGCATGTCGGGGCTTGGCTGGTCTTGGTAGAGAAAGGCTACCCATGGCCACTTCAACAAAGAACCATTGACAGCTTGTGATTCAGAAGAGCTTTACTAGACTGGAAGCCATCTTGTCTTACAGCTGAGACTACTACTCAAAGGCTACAAGTAAATCCATTAACTGGTTTGTGTTTAGTTACTTAGTCTCAGGCATTGCCAATCATTCTAGAATTTCAACCGATAAAGCATTTAAACCCTGTCCGTTTGGCAGTCGTTGATCTGCACTGGAAGAATTTGATGACACATTCGCTGATTTTTTATAGAAAAACGTGCTTTAGTATCCTTAATTAAAAAGTATGTGTTACAACTAGTCTTGTTCCAAGGTTACTTTCCACCTTCGCGGTTGTCCTTCAGGAAAAAATTCATACGCGCGCCAGTTTAAAGAAAATCCGGAAATCCTAACAAGTATGCATCAGAAGAAAGCTTAATAAATGTAATTTTTGATAAAAATTTAATTTAAGTGTTTTTTTTAGGAAGTTTTAGGAGCCAGTAAGGCGTGAAACGACCGAAGGTCCTGTTGAATTTATCGGGTATCAGATCCCGCAGCACGAGCAAAATGGCTGCACAGTGTTATATTCAAGACAACAAAATTGTGTCGGGCTTTTCCGATATACTGTTTGGTTCTTCAGATATCCGCATCTAAAGTTAGAGTAGTTTGAAATATGCGAGACGTGTTGCGTAAATGGACGCCTCCTGAAAAATATTTCAAATATCAAAATTTCCCAACACGCTTGGTTTGTCAATATACCTGGAATACTTTGGCGAAATTTCACGAAAATTGGTAAAATCTACATCCCTCTTTAAATTCGCCTAAAGTGTATCTATTCCTCTCAAAATGCGAGCTTTTACCTCCTAAAGGTTTGCAAACAACCAGCGCCACACCGGGAGATTATTAGGGACCTTAAGAAACCACGAAGGCGACGGCAACGAGGACGTGGAAAAACGAGAGATCTAATTGGCAGAACGATAGCTCCGCACGTGCGTTTTGAAACTTTGTACATTTCTTAGCCGTCCTATGCTAAACAACAACGTGAAATCGCCAAAATTTGCATCGTCTGCGAACCGAAACCGCGACGGCAAATGATTTTAATTTCCATTTGGAACTGAACGGCTACTTTATACGTCATGCTGAAGTTGAGCTGTGGCGCTGTATGAGACAGTAAGCTCCTGCAGCCATTTTTGAAATTCTAACTAAGAGTAGAAATTCAGTTTTTAATCGAAGTCTTCCTTGGCGTC